CTGCAAAACTTTTACTTGAAGCTGCTCAGAGAACTCAGGGGAGAGCTGAGATTCAAAACAGGTTTTTCATGCTTTGCAGTTCGGTCTCTCCACCAGGGTAGGAACCTCTGCACTTCCAGATGTTGCTGATCTACAATTCTCACAGCCCCTCCAGCATGGACAATGGCAAAACTACTGGGAACACAGCAACATCTACAGAGTTTCCTATCATTCCACTACACTCTACTCTATGCCAGATCAAACACAGCAACAAAAAATAATAGCAAAACATTAACCAGTATTATCTTCTGAAATAAAACTAGCAGGAAGGAGCCAGTAAAAGAAGAAAAAAAGGAAAAGCTTTAGACTGCTTCTAAAGCCTATCACAGATACCTTTCAAAATAGGAATTTGTTCATGTGTTCCTGGGAACCTGGAGAGTTTCCCAGTGGAGAGAGTTTAAAAACCTAGGTGCAGAAATCAATTAGCACCCTGCACACGGAGGTCCCTCATCTCAAATAAAGTGGGAATGAACAACCTGCCTCTTGCATGCAGAGAAAGGACTAAACCGCCTTTGAGTTTGCATGGAATAGTATCTCCAGGGAGATGCATACTGTCCTGTCTTTGGTGGCTATTCAAGAAGCTATCAAATTATTTTTTAAATCTCTCCTTGGCAAATTTTATCTTGACATTTTTAATAAAGATGGTATTCTTTTAAATACTTATTTGTGTGTGTATACACATATATAATGGTTTGTAATCTTATTCTATTCCTGTTTGGCCAAACAGTTTAAATAACAGTCTGGGAGGATGAACATCCTAAACAATGGGACTGAAATCTATTTAAAGAAGGAAAAGTTATTTTGCAAAGATTGAAGATCGGTCAGCCTGAGAACAGGTATTGTGAAATCATAATTCTATTTATAAGCCAGCTTTGGAAAACAGCCAAGTTTGCTGTCTACTGGGGTTAACATGACATGCTTCAGATGGCACCATTGTGAATACTGGAAGTTGAGGAGGAGGGTGCCAGCTATGGTGAAAAAGTCAAGATGGTAGCCACAATGGTCCTATCAAACTTTGCCTGGTTTTTAGGTGAGTCACTTCAATCACGCAGTTACAGCTACCATCTTGGAAGTTGTCTCCCAGAAAATCAGATCATTTGTCCAGCATCGTTGGCATTGACTGGCTGTGGCTGAGTTTTTCTAGCCCTTCCAAAAAATATGGCAATTGAAACAGACCTTCCATACATAAAGTGTATGTGGAACCATGGAGGTAATAGGAGGAAGTGAAGGCAAGAAGGTACAATTAATGTTTTTCAGGTGTTATCCATTGGGATAAGACTTTGAGATTCCATTCCAAGCAGCATTAATATCTCGGGTTCATATAATGCAGGGTTCCTCAACCTTGGCAACTTGAAGATGTGTGGACTTCAATTCCCAGAATTCCCCAGCCAGCCATTCCCCTTTAAGGGAGTAAGAGAAAATAATTAAAATTATTTTCTGGCCCTACTCACTATGCATTATCTACTGTGGCCCTTGCAAGCCAACCCTGGCCCTCAAATTCTATGGTTCTTGGCTATTAAAATCTGCCCACCCAGTGAAGAGAAAGAAAAGAATTAGGAATACAGTGCTTTCCTAGAATCACAGAGACCCAGATAGTCTTCTAGTCCACCCCCTTGCCCAGGGCAGGAATTCATTAGCTAACAAAATGTAAGCAGGCAATATCAGGAAAGAACCTTCATGTAGGCCAACCAAGCCCCCTGAGTTAGTAACCACAGAATTATTAGAATTCTAGTAGCCATCAGTTACTCAGATAACATAACAACATCCATTCTCAAGAATTGTTCATAAGCATTTAGTTGTAGTTGCCCTTTGGAGTTGAATCTTTGCCTTTAGGTGGTTTCCAAATTCAGCAGTCTTGGCTCATCCCTTTCTTTGCATAGTGGCAGTGAAAGGCGCATTTCCAAGCCTGGTTTTGTTGATGTGGTGTGCACAAACAGACAGGAATATGGTTCAGTACAATCCAAAGTGAGTTTCCCCTTCCTCATTTCTATTTATTGAATAGTATTTGCCACACCCCTCCCCCATTTCATTAGTCAAGTTATGACATGCCTATCTAATTTATTACCATTCTTTCTTCTTTATACCAAGCAGCAAGAAATTCCAGAAAAGTATTTTATTTAAATAAGACACCATTGAAAACTTGAGGGATCTTCATAATATTTATATATAAAACATAGCAAGTAGAGGACTGGAAGCATATAAATATCCCTCTGTATAGGAGGTGGGAATTTTTATTCTTATATCCCTATCTTACCTTTCCTCCAGGACTCAACTCTATTCACCCTGTATTTTTCCCCACAACAGCCCTATGAGAGCTATACCAGCCATTGCTTGTTATAAACCAACATTCTATACTCTTCTCCAAAGAATGATGGTTGATGATTATGTGCTGTCAAGTCATTGTCAACTCTTAATGACCACATAGATTTTCTCCATGAAGATCTGTCTCTAACTTGGTCTTTCATGTCTCCCAATGGTGCACTCATCACCACCATAACTGAGTCCATCCACCTTGCTGCTGGTCGTCTTCTTCTTCTCTTTCCTTTCACCTTTCCCAGCATTAGAGCCTTTTCCAGAGAATGAGGTCTTCTCATAACGTGTTCAAAATATGATAATTTGAGCCTGGTCATTTGTGCCTCG